GCCCGCGGGCAGAGCCGACGGCAAGCCCGGCGACGACTCCCGCATCCGCCGGCCCATGAACGCCTTCATGGTGTGGGCCAAGGACGAGCGCAAGCGCCTGGCGCAGCAGAATCCGGACCTGCACAACGCGGTGCTGAGCAAGATGCTGGGTAAGTGCCCGCCGGCCTCCCCTGGGAGCCCTGAAGCCCCCCGGCACTGCCCAGGCTCCCAGGCGGCAAGAGGGAAGCCCCACTTCGGGGCGAGGGGCCTCCTAACCCGAATCCTAACTCTGAACTCGGGTGGGGTGAGAGCAGACGAACACCCGAGGGTGCTCCTAACCCTAATCCTAACTTTAAAGTCAAGCGGGATGAGAGCAGACGCTGCAGGGCAACACCCAAGGGTGCTCCTAACCCTAATCCTAACTCTGAATTTGAGTGGGATGAAAGGAGATGCCGCAGGGCAACATCCAAGGGTGCCCCTAACCCTAAACCTAACTTTAAACTCAAGCGGGATAGGAGCAGACGCTGCAGGGCAACACCCGAGGGTGCTCCTAACCCTAATCCTAACTCTGAATTTGAGTGGGATGAAAGGAGATGCCGCAGGGCAACATCCAAGGGTGCCCCTATCCCTAATCCTAACTTTAAACTCAAGCGGGATGAGAGCAGACGCTGCAGGGCAACACCCAAGGGTGCTCCTAACCCTAATCTTAACTCTGAATTTGGGTGGGATGAAAGGAGATGCCGCAGGGCAACATCCAAGGGTGCCCCTATCCCTAATCCTAACTTTAAACTCAAGCGGGATGAGAGCAGAGGCTGCAGGGCAACACCCGAGGGGGCTCCTAACCCTAATCCTAACTCTGAACTTGAGTGGGATGAAAGGAGATGCCGCAGGGCAACATCCAAGGGTGCCCCTAACCCTAATCCTAACTCTGAACTGGGGTGGGATGAGAGGAGATGCCGCAGGGCAGCCCACCCCGTAACAAGTTCGGTGGGGCCGAGCCGTTGTAACGGGGTGTCGTGTGCGTGTTCCCCTTGCAGGCCAGTCGTGGAAAGCCCTGAGCACCAGCGACAAGCGCCCCTTCGTGGAGGAGGCAGAGAGGCTGAGGCTTCAGCATCTGCAAGATCACCCCAACTACAAGTACCGCCCAAGGAGAAAGAAGCAAGCCAAGAAAATCAAGAGGATGGAACCCAATATCCTTCTCCATAACCTTTCCCAGCCTTGCAGTGACAGCTTCGGCATGAATCATCACAGTGGCAGCCAGCCTGCCCACCACCAGCCTCCCCCACTGAACCACTTCAGAGAACTCCACTCCATGGGGTCAGATATTGAAAACTATGGCTTGCCAACTCCTGAGATGTCTCCCTTGGATGTCTTGGAACAGACCGAGCCAGCGTTTTTCCCTCCTCACATGCAGGAGGACTGCAACATGATGCCCTTTAGAGGCTACCACCCCCATCACCAGATGGAGTTTCCCCAAGACAAGTCCATTGGGCGGGACATGGCGATGCCGTACGCTCAGACCCCATCGCATTTGGCCGATGCTATGAGGACTCCCCACCCATCTAGCATATACTACAACCAAATATGCTCTGGACCTCAGAATGGCCTTTCTACCCATCTGGGCCAGCTGTCACCCCCTCCTGAGTCCCACCACCTTGACAGTGTAGATCACTTGAATCAAACTGAGCTTTGGACAGATGTTGACCGCAATGAGTTTGACCAGTATTTGAACATGAGCAGGACTCGTCCTGAACCTTCAGGACTCCCTTACCATGTCTCCCTGTCCAAAGTGACTCCTAGAAGTATCTCCTGTGAGGAGAGCAGTTTGATATCTGCATTGTCCGACGCCAGCAGTGCCGTCTACTATAGCCCCTGCATCACAGGTTAGACTTGTCCCGTTGTACAATGTGTTTGCCCAGGAGAATCTCAGGCCTACCAGAGCAGAGTCTCCTTTTAAAAAGAAAAGCCATCTTCTTTTAACCATGAGCTCCATAATATTTAGAGTATCTCATTAAGTGCATCGCTTTAAAAAAAACACAAACAAACCATGCCGAAGTCACTGATATACCATATAACTATATAACACAGATACGTTTTCCAAAGCGGAGGGCTAACTCGTGCACCAGGTCAGCCTAGGGCGCTCCACCTCTTAACCCTGCACCTTTTGGAGAATACGGCAAAGCTTCATACACATTGTTTTAAGCAGGACATAGCTGTCATTTCCAACACCAAGTAGTTCTACCCTCTTTTTAGACACCCGACAGTGAATCACGTCTAAAGCAATCGTGATCAGGGTTGCCCAACTTGGACTGCCTTCGTGTTTAAATGAAGGGCAGGCTCAATTGCATGGAAATTTGGGGGAATGTCTCGATGCAGTTGTTTTCAAGATTGGGCACCTGCTTGTGACGTGCTTTAATACGGTTTTCACTGTATTATCAGCAATATACTTTAATTGGGCAACAAGACTATATTTTTACTAAGCATTTTTATATAGAAAATGATATTTAATGTGTCTGGGGTTTTTTATTAGACTTTTTTTAAAAAAAATAAATAAACCAAAGGATATCCATGAGATCTAAAGCATTTATGTAGCAAAGCTGGATTATTATTATTATTTTTTTTTTTTTTAAGGAAAAAAAGTTTTGGAGAAAGGGAATTACAGTGTAAATGATGTAGAACAATTGACTGGAATTTTTTGTACCAGAGAATGTATGTCTGCAAACACTTTTATTATCTAGATCTGCGCGGCGAGCAAGTGATCTTTATCCTGGCTAATTAAAACATCTTCCTCTGATTATTTCCATCTTGTGTGCTTGTTGTGTGAACACATATTTTCCGCAAATATATGTTTTCCCAACCGTTGCCAGATTTTTGTATCAGTTGGTTCATGCTTTGACAGCCTAGCAATTGTATTCATTTTCAAAACTCACCCGCCAGCGCTGTCGACCATGTAAAAGCTCTCCAAATAAAGATAAATGGCAGGCGGCCGGGGTTCAGAGAGCGCTCACGGATCCAGCCCTCGCTGCTGGGTCTTTCGATACGCGCCCTGTCCTTGGCTCTTCCTCTGTAAGTGTAAGAGACGTGTTCTTCTGGAAAAGCATCTGTTCTTGGAGAAAAGGCATTGAATAAAACATGTGATATCCTTCTCTGGACATGCGTGTGCCCGTGTGTGGTTCTTGTTTGGCTAGTGGGGCTCTCCGGACCCCGTCCTGCAGGGATATCCCGGAGGGGACACCCGTTGGAGTCCAGGCAGCTCGCTGAACAGGGATCGTAAAAGCTGCAGATGGAAAAGGCCCGTCCCCTGCCAGGACAGGCTTCTCCCTTGCAACACTTTTCCTAGTGCTTTGTTCCCTCCGGTTATGAAATGTTCCAAGCAACGGGATTTCCGCTAGGACCCTTCTCACCCATTACTACTCTTTTTCCAGAAGGCCAGTTTACGTGCTCTTTTCCTTTGTTTAACCCATTCCCAGGCCCTGGTGAGACACCCTAGGTAACCCCATCCCTCTAGGGTCCTTTATCCCGTCCACATGGATCAGGTTTAATTCCTGGGAGGGGGGGTGTTGCTTTTGTTTCGTGTTTTTGGGGGGCTCGCTGCAGCATTTGGACCAGAACATTTAACAAAAGACAAAAATGGCAATCTGTTCCCTAACACACCCTCAGCATCCGTTCATTGAACGGCCGTGATTTAAAACAGATTGATATTGCCAAAAAAGGCTGTTTAAAAAAAAAAAAAAGATGACGAGAAGGAGATTGTTGCTGCCGCTGCTCCTGGCAGGAAACTGCCCTTCAGTGGGAGATGGGCATTTGAACAAATGACACTCATTTCCACGCTTCTCCCAAATTAAACTCATGACTTAAGTCTTGGCCCACTTCTGTATGTGAAGCAGTCATTTTTTTTTTTTTTAACTTTATTTTTTGTTTTTTGGGTATGTTGCTGTTTTGGGGGTTTTTTGCTCTTGCTAATACATCCCCATGCAATTACCAACATGGACTTTGCTGTGTTTCCATATACAGTATGCAAGCAGGGGGAAGACATGGAAAAATGACATCATTGCCCACACGGGGGAACTGGCTTTGGGCCACGAATGGTGTGCTTGCATGTGCCAGAGTCGCTGGCCGCAACAAACAAACAAAACACGAACAGAGAAGCATCCTGTGTGTCTGCAGATGACTATGAAAGGAAACAGCCCTCGACAAGCTGCAGCCGGGACGAGTCCCCATGGCAGCCTGGAAGGAAGGAGTCAAGGCCTGACTTCTTTTCCAGCTCACAGATCCCAGGTACCTTGCCTAGGACCATGCGATCACTTCCTGCACGCTTCGACACCCCCTCTCCCATCGGCCCCCGAGCAGAGCAGGGAGAGGTAAGCGAGCGATTAGATCACGGAGGAAGCGTTAGTTGTTTTCTGCAGCACAGCTCCCCGTCCTTGCCCTGGCCGTCCTTCCCCAGTTCTCCTAGGATCCCAGAGGAAAATGAGAGCAACACAGGAATCTCCTCTTCCCCGGCTGCAATTCATCCTCCCCGCACCCCCTGCTTTCTGCTGATCAATTGCTGAAAGCAGGGCTGGCAATAAAGGGCAATGTTTCCAGGGCCTAAGTGACTGAGGCATGTTTTAAAGTTTCCTCTGCATCCTTCCTACAGGGAGACAGCTTTTCCCACCAGTGCACCCCAATTTGGAGCAAGAGGGGATGCCTCTAGAGCAGCGTTTCTCAACCCATGGGTTGCAACCCAAAAGTGGGTGGTAAGAATATGTGAAAGAGTCACAAACACATTTTAAAAATGGATTCTCCTTTAAAAGGAGAAAAATGTGGGAAACTGTGGCTTTTCCCTTGCAGGCTGGCAGAGCTCCAGCCTGCAAGAGCTGTTTGCCCCCCCCCCCCCCCCCCCCCCCCCCCCA